TTTACCATATTATTTTAATAAAATGAATAATAAATCAAGCCATAAGATCATTAGGCAGGAATTGATTACAAGTTTCTATTTTTAGTAAAGGCACAGTAGCTCATATAAGACCAATCCTCTCAAAGTAACAATTGTGAACTCCAGACAAAATGCAAGAAACAATATCTAAAGCCATTAGAGAGTGGCCAAAAGCAGGCAAAAACTAGAGGCGGTTGACATTTAGATGAAAAGTATGGCACTGGCTAACTGACCATTTTTATGTCCTTTTGCCTGAGGATAGTCCACAATTGATGCCTAAGAAGGTGCCTAAACTTGAATAGAAACCGTATTGGTTAATAAATCAGCAGACAAAATTCAGGACAGTAGCAGCTGGAAAGTGAAGGGAGAAACACAGGAAAGAAAAGAGCCACAGAAAGAAAGGCCCAAATTCTATGTACAAACTCTGCTCAAATCTCTGGCCAACCCGAAACTAAGCATGTGTTGGCCAGATACCAAGAAACCCAGATAAGGCTAAAAGAACTAAACAGAAATTTCACTTAACACACACCACTGGGGAATTTAGAATTTCAAATCAGCAAAGTTAATTGCCTGCTAAAATAGAAAAAGCAATATTCTTCAGAGTTACAGAGCAGAATCCAGGGTCCCTATAATGTATTATCCAAAATATTCATGATGCATTCCAAAATTAGTAGCTATAAGAAGAAAAAAGAAAATACAGCTCATATACAAGAGAAATAACAATCAATGGAGACCAACCCCAAGATGACTTAGATGCTGGAATTAACAAAGAAGGGTTATAAAGCAATGATTATAATTATAACATTAATATATAAAAGAAATATAATGAGCCTGGACGGTGTGGCTCAGTGGACTGAGCATCATCCCATGGACTGAGAGGTCCCGGTTCTATTCCCAGTCAGGGCACATGCCTGGGTTGCAGGTTCGATCACTGGTTGGGCCGTGCAGGAGGCAGCTGATCGATGTTTCTCACATCGATGTTTCTGTCTCTCTCTCAAAAGAATAAAAAATATATGTTTTAAAAAAAATCAATCTAGCCTTGGCCAGTTTGGCTCAGCGGTTAGAGAGTCAGCCTGCGGTTCAGAGAGACCGGGGTTCGGTTCCCGCTAAGGGCGCATACCTTGGTTGCAGTTTGTCCCCAGCCCTGGTGGGGTTGTGCGGGTGGCAACCACTTGATGTGTCCCTTTCACGTTGATGTTTCTCTCTCTCTCCCTCTCTCCCTCCCACTCTATCTGAACAAAAAATGCCCTCGGGTGAGGATAAATAAATAAATATAAAAAAGAATATAATAAAGGAGAAGATAGAAAACCACAACAGATAGAGATTACAAAAGAATAAAATGGAAATACTAGAATTAAAAATATATCTGAAATTTAAAAACTCACTGAATGAGTTTAACAATAGATTAAACATGACAAAGGGGTCGGGAAGTGTGAAGATAGATCAAGAGAAGTATCCAATCTAGAAACAAAAAGAAAAAAATTGAAAAAAGTAAAAAGAGCTTCAGAGACTTGTGAGGAAATTGGGAATAATAGGTACAACATACATATAATTATAATCCCAGAGGGAGAGAAAATAGGAGAGGGAAGAAAAAGCTTTTGAAAAAATAATGACCAAAAAATATCCCAAATTTTGTAAAGGACATACGTTTACAAATTCAAGAATCTCAGTGAACCCCAAGCAGGATAAATAAAAAGAAAGTTATAGCTATGTACATCTTAGTCAAAATGCTGGCATCCAATGATAAAAAAAGAAATCTTGAAAGTATCTGAAAGCCCTGGCCGGTTTTGCTCAGTGGTTAGAGCATCAGCCTGCGGTCCCGAGAGACCCGGGTTTGGTTCTCGCTAAGGGCATGTACCTCGGTTGCAGTTTGTCCCTGGCCCTGGTTGGTCGTGCGGGTGGCAGCCACTCGATGTGTCCCTTTCACGTCAATGTTTCTCTCTCTCTCTCTCTTCCTCTCTCTCCCTTCCACTCTACCTGAACAAAAAAATGGAAAAATGTCCTCGGGTGAGGATTTAAAAAAAAAAAAAAAAAAGAAAGTATCTGAGAAAAATCAACATGTTATATACAGGAGAACAATGAAACACATGATAATTGATTTCTCATCAGGAATAAAAAAGAAGAAAGGCAGAAGAGAGTGGGACAATATGTTTAAAGTACAGAAAGGAAAGAAGGAGGGAAGGAGAGAAGGAAAGGAAAACTAGGATTCTTTATCCAGTGAAAATATCCTTTCATACTGAAGGAAAAAGACATTTTTGCACAAATGAAAATCAGGAATGTTTGTTGTCAGCCTTACAAGAAATACCTAGGGAAGTTCTTCAGGCTAGAGGGAAACGGTAGCAGATGGAAAATTGAATCTCCCAGAAGAAACTTCAGAAATGGCAAATATGTGGGCAGATATAAAAAACATTCTTTCTTTTCTGATTTTCTTTCAAGTACATATGACTGTTCAAAGAAAAAGTTGTAGCATTGTACTGTGCAGTGTGTTTCACGTGCACACGTGTTACAAGTGACACTGTAGCACACGGAGGAAGTTGGAGGGAAAAGCACAGGCGACCAGTGCAAACAGAAGCTTCCCTGAGCCTCTGCTTTGTTCAATGTGCACAGTGGTTCTTTTGTCTACCTCTCATTTCTCTGTTCTCCTCTGGTCACCTTTAAGGCTGTATTGATTGTCAACGGTTCATTGGAGGAATATGTGTATCTATTCCTCAAAGTTGGAAGAACAGACAAATTAACTGCTAAAACAGGAGACATGGAGCTGAAAAAGACAAAAGGGACTGGAAAGGGGAGAAAAATGGGGATTCTTCCTCAAACATGCCTTGCCTACCAATTCCATGGAATGCAAACACCACTTCTTTTTCATTAATACTCCCCTTTCCCCAACAAGCCTGTACACAGTCACAGAGGCTGCCTATGGTGATCTCTAAGGAGTTCAGTTCCAACTCTCTCTGATTTCACAGCCTCTGCAAGTGGGCTTCAAAGCTCTTCCCCAGAGCTATCCCAACAGTGCTGAGTGCCTGCGGCAGCCAAGGGCACCCTCACTCCATGTCCCAGAATTAGTTAATGATGATGGTGTTGGCCTTGAGTGGAAGGTGGCTGACTAGGAAGCGGTAGGTGGGAATCCAGCAAGCTCTGAAGATAAGTTACTTAATTACCACAGTGTGTGCAGTTACACTAACATCAAAGCCAGCAGCATGAAGGGCCCTTTGATCTTCAGTTCAGTACCCTTTCAAGTTGTTCCCTTTATCCTGCCCAGAAAGTCTGGCTTCTTTTCCCCTTGATTTCTAGGGCAAATTCTAATAAGAGTGACCTCCAGTTTACCCACCCAGTGGTGAGGAGGAGAGGGGAAGGAGCATCATCATGGATACAGTTAGTTCCCTGTATGTCAGTGTCGCCAAAGACCCCTGTTTCCAGTACATAAAATCATACTGCAGCTTTCCTTTCCAGGGGACTTTCTGTGCCAAAAGCACTATACAAGAATGTTCTCAACAGCACTGTTGATATGAGCCAAAAACAAGAAATAGCTCAAGTGTCCAGAAACAACAGAATGAATATACTGTGTCCTAACAATGGAATACTATATATCCATGAAAACGAACAAACTGCTGCTTCATGTAACCACACGGATGCACCTCGCAGGCATAATAGCGGGTGAAAGAAGCCAGCAGTGAAATAATATATGCTGTATAATTCCATATATGTAAAATTAAAAGCATGGAAGACTAAATTATAGTGTTTCTAGGTGAATAGTTGGTGGCAAGGAAACAATTAGTATTAAAATCAGGGAGGAGGGAGGAGTGTGCCTGGAAAGAGGCACATGGAGGAAGGTGTGGTTCTGGGAGCTGGAAATGGTGTACTTCTTGATCTGGCTGATAATTACCTGGGTGTTCCCTTCATGATGCTATACATTTTTATTTTCCCAGCTCTTTTTAGTAAGTGTACCACACTTTATAGTTTTAACAAAGGGCTTTTAGAAAGAAAAGAAAAGAAAAGCCTGAGAATTTTTAAACTAAAATGATAAGGGAAAGAAAAGCCCACTCAGCTGTTGCCATGTCTAATCAAGCTGCGCGACCAGCCCAACCCGCAGGCTGTCAGTCACCAGGTGTGTGCAGTGTAGGCAGTGGAGGGTCACTGAATTAGGTTTCACACAAAACATCGGTCCTTCGGGTGCCCACCCTTCACCAACTCAGGGCCAGCCTGTTGCTCAGTGGCGTATGCTCCCACAGAGGGCTGGGAAGGCTCACCTCCTTGGAGGGCAGCCTTGGCCCTCTTCCCTCTCCCCTCTGATGGTGTCAGAAGCTGACAGAGCAGCAATCTCCCTGGAGCCAGAAAAGGAGGCCGTAGTGCTGCCTGGAGACAAATCCTTGCAGATTCTACCCTTCCCTTGAGGAGGAAAAGGATGGCTTTCAGGGCCTCCCTGCAGGGCAGCACATGCCCCTCTGATTTCCCAGTGTGTGACAGCGGGGTTCTTCCCAATTATCCTCAGGCTCAGGCTGTGGTGCATACTCTCTGCTGATCACCCGGCTGAGCTTTGTAGCATCACAGATGAAACAAATCAGATGAAGGTCACTGATCCAAAGACCTGGGTTCTACTTCACCTGGACCCAACCATCCCCCAAGAGGCTTTGACTTTAAGGTGAAGCTGGGGGAGCCAGGTGTGCCTGCACCCCTAGGTCAGGGAGGATGTAATTTTGGTAGATAGTCCCATTCCTTATAGAAGCAAAAACGTTCTTTCTGGTTGGTTTGTTTGTGTTTTTCCTTTCAACATCCAAATTAGAGACTCAAACGTGTTATAACAGGAGAAGCAGAACTTGTTTTAATCTAGTGAGGTCACTGCCTGCCATGGATGAAGTCAGTTCGTCAGATACTCAGAACTAAGACCTGCCTGTGCCGCTGCACTTTCAGCTCCGCCACTCTCGTAGCGCCTCGCACTCCCCACCTCGCACTCCCCACCTCGCACAGGTAATGACCTGTGCACTTACCATTTGCCTTATCTCCTCTAGCACTGGGCTGAAGGCTCCCAGACACACAGTCTTTGTTTCCTCCTTGGTGACAGTGCCTTGAGTCACCAGTCCCTCTAAACATCTGTAGAACAGAAGGAAGACAATTACCATCCATTCATCTCTAAGCTGTACCAATTACCATATTAAATGGTTAATGTACGTGATCTTACATACTCCTCACAACCATCCTTTGAGGTGTTATTATCAGCATTTCACAGATTTAGGAAAAAAAGAAAAAAATCAAGGCTCAAAAATGTTAGAGGATTCGCCCAAGTTCACTCAGCCAGTCAGAGTCAGAGCTAGACTTGACTCCAGAACTGTCCCTTTGCCCAGCCCCTCCTGTTTTCTCTCTGTGATGAGAGGATGAGTGACGTGGGTGATGTCTGTGAGGTGACTCATCCCAATCCCTCAAGTGCAGAGCTAGTAACATTGCCTCCTCCCAAACGAAGCTTGAGGTTCATGGGGCTTTTTCAATACCTTGGCTAGTCCCTGGTGGGGCTAGAATTAACCCAAAGGAAACAGAGAAGTGGGTTTGGCACTCTTTTGTGAGATACTCTCTGCCCACATAACTACCAGGGTTAAAGTGAATGTCATTCACTTGTGTCTTCTCTGACCCTAAGCATGACCAAGCCCACAAGGGCTAATCAGATTACTGAACTCACACAGATCTGTGCTAACTTAGGATGCCTGTCCCACCATCTGCGTGGCAAACACCTGCTCCCCCTTCAAGACCCAAGTCCTGCAGGAAGCCCTTCCCAGCTCTTGCGGCAGAGCTCCTCATCAGCTCTCCCGTTGCTGATCCAAGGAAGGGCTACACATGGTGGGGTCTGAAATCATCAAAATCCCTCTCTCGAGGAATAGCACATCAAACAGGGAAGATAAGAAAACAGACTATGAGTATAACAGGACATTATACTGTTATAACAGTACAACAAGACATTACGTGCCTCCGGGTGTGGTATAATTAAAAATATACACTGATGACATATTCTTGTCAGAAAAATAGAGCCTGACTATAATTAAGCCTCTAGATTTAACTGCCAATTGACAGGAATACAGAGAATAGAAGAACATGGTAAAAACACCACAAGGGTGGAATCAGCCAAAACCAAACTATGAAACAGAACGATTCAGCTGATTTCTTTGACAGATACATGGAGGTGGGACCAGTGATGGGACCTGTCACAGGTTAAAAGAAACTTAAGAGACAATTCAACCAAATGCAAATGTGAACCTAATTTTGAAAACAAAAACTATTAAAAGGGACATTTTTTTGAGACAACTGGAGGGGAAAAAATGAACATGAATCAGATATTAGATGACATTAAAGAATTACTGTTAATTTTGCTAGGTATAATAATGGTTTTGCAGTTATATTCTTCAAAAAGTTCTTATCTGCTAGAGCTATATCATGAAATATATTAGTGAATGAAATAATATGTATCTGGGATTTGCCTTAAATTTATCTCTCAGGAAAAATAACTGAGGGGATAGACAAAGCTGGAATAGCAAAGTGTTGGTAATTATTGAAGTGGGGGAGGGACCTTTACATTCCTCTCTCTAGTTCTTGAAATTTTCCATACTAAAATGTTAGATATTTTTCAAACATAGTAGATTGCATGCAAAAAGCAGTAATGGATAAATGCTGAGAGGCTTGGGGAGCAGGGAGGAAGGGTGCTAAACTAGCCTGAGGTGGTTGAGGACAGCTGGACAGAGAGGAGCTCAACCACTGAGCAGTTCTCATGCTGCATTATCATGGGCACACCAGGGATATAGGTTATTCATCTTTGAGACTCCAGCACTCAGTAGAGTAAGGCAAACAACAGGTGCTAAATATAAATTATTGAATGAATTAACTATAACCACCCAAAGACCCCTTTCATTTTCCCATTAAAGTAGCAGCAGCAGTAGCAAACTCTCAGTGCTGTGTTGGACGTGGAGGATACATAGACATAAAAAACGAATCCCCACTTTCAAGAGAAGACAAACCATTCACACAAAAAATTGAGCCCAGCCAGTATGGCTCAGTGGTTGAGCATTGATCTATGCACCAAGAGGTGTACAGTTTGATTCCCAGTCAGGGTACACATCCAGGTTGCAGGCCAATCCCGAGTGGGGGCGTGCAGAAAGCAGCTGATCAGTGTTCTCTCTCATCAATGTTTCTCTCTCTCTCCCCCTTCCTTTCTCTCTAAAATCAATAAAGAAAAATATTTTTAATAGATTTTCCAAAGAAGCGAAATGTGCTAAGCACTAAATGAATTGCATGACATGCTGAACATTGCATCTCTGGAGGACTCTTCTGAGAATTTGTGTGCAGAATGGCTCAGCGGGGTAGGGCGGCCATCTGGATCCAGGCATGCAAGAGTGAGGGCCATCTGCAGCGGTGGCTGTGGAAGTATAAAGGAAGAAAGGGGTGGGTGTGGAAGAACTGATCACACTGTAAGGAAGTGTGTAGAGCATGATATTGGTGCTCTCAAAATTCTTCCCGGCCCATCAAAGCTCACATGGATCCTTCCATCATCACTGCCAGGAGCCTGGTGAAGGGAGGGCGGAGGGAAACACATGTTCACAGACAACAGGCATTAATCCTTGCAAATGAAAGATGCAGCAGAGAGTAGGAAGAGAGGGTGAAATGTACTACATTGCCACTGAGCAACTGGGCTCTTCCTCCCTACTCTGGCTATTGTGGGATCAGAATTCCAAAACTTCCATTTCCTTTTATAAACATTATAAGAAACCTACATAGAAAAATGCCATCTGAGTACACCTTTGGTTTTTTTCTACGTGATCAGGACAAGCTTCGCCAGGACCGAGAAGGGGCCACTAGCCTGCTCTTCCTCATGCCTGGAAGAAGTGACTCCGGGCTGATCAGCACTTGGCGGTGTTTTTCTGGCCTATCTTTAGAGGCTCCAAGGGAGCAGCTTTCCCAGACTAAGCTCCCCACTATATTTATACAATCTGAAAATGGGCAGAAAAAAAACAATGACTCAGCAACCCAGCAGGATGTAGGCCCGAAGATAAAATTAAGTCGATTTATAGAAAAATTTAAAAGGCTGTATCTCTTGCACATCTGACTCTGTGAGCTGAGATTTATGACCACTACATAAGGAAGAGACCCCTTTCAAGTCAGCGTAAGCAGAAAGGAGGTTTATGGTAGAATACATGAAAATCTAGAACTCTATATTAGGCAGCATGGCCAGGCTTTAAGAGGGATTAAAACCTGGTACAGAGGACTTCTGGTCAAGATGGCGGCATACGTAAATGCGGTCTCACGTCCTCCCACAACCACATCAAAGTTACAACTAAACTACAGAACAACCATCATTCAAAGCTGCCTGAAATCAAGCTGAGTGGAAGTCCTACAACTACGGAATTAAAGAAGAAGCCTCATGGAGACTGGTAGGAGGGGCATAGGTACCACGGGCTGGTCCCACACCCATGTGTGGCCGATAAAAATCAGGAGGACACCTCGGCTGGGAGGTCCTCCCTGAGGACTGAGGTGTCCCCGTCCCACACCAAGCACCCCTCTCAGGGTTCCAGGGCCAGGAAGAGAAGTCCTCATAACTTCTGGCTGGAAAAACCAGCGGGAACTTAGGCCCAGGGAGGCTGAGGTGGCTGGAGCCCCAGGCAGCTCCTCTTAAAGGGCCCGTGCACAGACTTACTCAGACTTGCTCCCCCTAAGCTCAGAGGGGAAGCAGCTTGAGGGGCTTAGGGAAGAGGCATCTTGTACCTGGTGAGAAGGTGGGTGAGAACAGAAGGATTTAGAACTCTCTGCCTAAACCTTAAAGAAAAGGAAATGAAGACAGAGTCAGGGATTCCTAACTTTCCTGAACTCTGGACAGTGAGGTGCAGTGGAGACCCTGGGGGCCAACTCTCCCATCCCAGGCTGTTGGCCACCCCCCACACTCATGGGAATGAGCCTGCTCCTACACTGTGGTCACTGCCAATAAAGTGCTTCTTTCTGTGGAAAAGGAACGCTGCTTTTGAAAACTAAAGTGTGATATATATCTTAACTAGCTGATGGGAACTCCTGTGTTCAGACTAGGAATCAAAGTATAGACTTTGTTACATTATAAACATTTTTCCTACTGCCTACTGTAAACCAGCTCCAGAACTTGCCACATGAGAAAGAAGCACCCAACGGCCTAAACAGAGAGCTGTCCATTTAGAGCCTGGCTTTGATCCTGTCCCGGACACAATCCACTTTCCTCTAACCCTTCTTACCCAGAATCAAGTTTTAGGACATCATTCCAAGTGAGCTGAGCCAAAAGGCAATGAAGATTAAAGCTAACAAGGAAACCAACCGCGTGTTTTTAAAAATACACAAGCAACGCCTGGCTTTCCATAGGATCTGGGCTCTGGGTTCTGAAGCACAGCCCAGGAGACACCACCACAGAGAACTGGTAACAGCCTGGAGTTAATGGTGTCCGATACAGTGGTCACTAGCAGCTGTGCATGTTGAGACTTGAAATATAGCTAATTCGACGTATGCCGTACATGGAAGAGACCCGTCAAGTTTTAAAGATTTAGTACAAAATGATGCAAAATATCTCCTTAACAGTTTTTATATTGATTATGTGTTGAAATGTAATATTTTGGATATATTTAGTTAAAGAAAATATATTCTTCAAATCAATTTTACCTGTTTCTTTTTTATTGTTTTAGTGGGGCAGACTAGGCTACTATGTAATTTAAAACTGCATGTGGTCCCGGCCATTATGGCTCAGTAATAAATGTCACCTGCGGACCAAAGAGTCCCAGGTTTGATTCCGGCCAAGGGCACGTACCTCAGTTGTAGTTTGTGTGTGGGTGGCAACCAATCGATGTGTCTCTCTCACATTGATGTCTCTCTCTCTCTCTCTCTCTCTCTCTCTCTCTCTCTCTCTCTCTCCCTCCCCCTCCCTCTCTCCCTCCAGCTCTGTCTGAAGATTAATGTAAAAAATATCCTCAGGTGAGGATTTAAAAAAATAAGAAATAAATAAATATTTTTTAAAAAACTGTGTGTGTGGCTCACGGTATGTTTCTGTTGACAACACTTGCCTAGAGGGCTCAGCCCACGCCCACTGCTCTCAGCTCCTCCTCATTTTATTCTGAACCATATCAGTTGGTTCTGTCTTTAATTTTTTAAATTCCTTGCACATTCTAGTGATAAAAAAGAATTTTGAAGGGCAAGTCATTCAGATTTATTTTGGGCAAGTTGTGATGATAAAAAAAAATTAGAAGAGGGAGAAGAAAGGAACATGTCCTGGTTTACTGAGAAGGTAAGAAACAAACATTCTGCTCATCTGTTACAGAGGATGTGCTCCCCTACGCGACAAATTGATATTCCTCCTAGAGAATAAAGAATAAAGAATGTAATAATGACAGATGAGTTTCTATTTGGCATTCACTAAAAATGAGTCCGTTAAATTTGAAGTCTCCCACCACATATTAGCAAATGCTCAAAAAGCTGGAACAAATTACCAGTTAAATGTTATTACTTGGTGCAAACAAATCTAAGTAAGTTCTGACCCAGAGCATCAAACTGCCGGGTGTCGGGAGGGCAGAGAGGAGGGAAGGCAGACAGTTGCTGCATGAAGTTCTCAGTAGAAAACCTCTGTGTGACTCCTCAGTCACACTTCAGTGTCTTAGAAAAGCTGAAGGATATTTGGGCCATCTAGAGGAATTCTGTGTCTTTGTCTTCAGACTTTCGATAAACCTTTACTCAGCAGAGCCCAAAGCAGCCTTGAAGATTAGGACAAAGGTTAACAAAGGATGAGATAATAGTTGGGTGACATTAGTTGGAATACAGAGAACAGCTGACTGACAAAGGTTTGGGGTGAGGAACAGCAACACTTGCTGTCATTTCCTAGAGGACTGTGATATTGCATTTCCCGGGCCCCCCACTGTCACAGAGATGACCTTCGCCACACTCCCAGAATGACTCATGTGCCATCTATTGGACATCTCTACACTAATCAGAGGCTTGTTAAACAAGTCGTACAGAAGCCTGCAGGTAGCCCATCAAACCCAGCAGTGAGGTGTGATTTCTCCTCCTCCACCTCCTCACCCCTCCCATTGATTCATGATCTCCTGAGTAATCCTGGGGACCTGGTTTAGCTATTGAAATACTTTATTGAACAAAGCTGTACTGTGTAGGAAAACAAGAATCCAGGCAGGAGTACAAATCTTTACAAACCAATGCTCCCAGACTTGTTTCTATCCATCCTTCACCCTATACCTGGATGGGTTTCCTCCTTTTTTATTCATTCCTAGTGCCTGCTTGATTTGCTCAAGGTGTGTGCACTGTTTGCTGTGAGGTGTCCCCATCTTGTTGGTCTTTGGCAGCCTCCAGTTAGCATTTCCCAATGCCCTAAGTCTTCTGCCTGTACCTGTGTTACCCTTCCAGTTGCCTAGGTACAACCCTACTTTGCAAGTTACCACCTGTGGATGGGCTGGATTTTGCTAGGATGTTTTGAAATGACGACACTGATTCCTCCCCTGAGGAGACTGACTCAGCAAAGATCATGACAAATACTCCAAGTCTTATAATCATGGGAAAGGAACATTAGAGTTGGGATTAGTTTAGAAGATCCCATTTTTCAATATTACACAACTGGCTCTAAGATATCTTAGAGAAGCCATTCTCCAAAGAAAAATAAAAACTGCTCCTTAAATTTAAATGTGTATATGGTACAGAGATGTGAAGTACAGCTTAGGGAATATAGTTAATAATAGTGTAATAGCTATGTATAGTGCCAGGTGAATACTTGAAATATCAGGGACACCACTTTATAAAGTATTTGGTTGTCTAACCACTAGGCTGTACACCTGACACTAATATAAATTAATAGTAAATATAAACTGTAATTGAAAAATAAAAATTTCAAAAATAATTTGAATAGATATGCCAAATAAATAAATAAAATAAGTGTGTCTATGGTATAAAAATACTTGTCTATACAGACACAAAAGCTTAGCACTTATTCATGTATCTTCAAAATGTGCTACAAACTTTATATAATTAATCCTAACCCATACCCAGATAGAGAAGTCAGTACTAACAATTCTTTTACATTGTCAAATGGAGAAATTTAGGCACACTAAGGCTTTAAAAATTGTCCAAAGACACTGAGAACCAGCACGAATTAGCAGGTGTTGCTTATTCGAGGGCCAACACCAGGCAAACAATTATGTAGAGAGGAGGAAAAAAAAAGACAGGGAGTGAATATAAGACTAGTTTGTTTTTTTTCATGGACTAGTCTCCCTTAAAATAATTGCAGATAATGCATTCATTCAAATGGACCAAATCGAGCCAGTGTTTCCTAGAAGACACCCTTTCTTGCTTGGAAATACCCTAGATTAGCCCATGCTGCCTTTTCACAGGACTTCCTTTACTTCTTCCCAAACATTCTTGTTTTCCTTCTCCTTACAGTATTTTGCTTGAATAACTATGGGAGACATAAACTGGTGGCTAAGAGCAGGACAAAGAACCAATGAAAATGCGTTCAAAAGCTGGTTCCACTGCTTACTTAACCACACCGAACATGGGAAAATGCTTAACTCTAAAACTGCTTCTATCAATGAAATAGGATCATAATGGTGCCTACCTCTCAGGATTGCTGGGAGGATTCAGCAACATAATATACATAAAGTGTTTAGCATGGTACCTGGTATGTACACACACAATAAATAGTAATAATTACAATAATTCTGTTTTAAAGCCAGAAATTCCAGCTTCTCAAAAAATAAAAATAAAAAAAACAATGCCAACAGCCAAAACGTGCTACTGAAAGATTTTAAGGGTCAACTTATAACAGTTTAACTGAGATACGGACACAGAGCTCAGACAGGGAGATCAGAACATTGGTTTGATCACTGATAAAAGCGTGGATAGTAGGACATGGCTTTGCTGTGTGGCCACAGTGGGTGTGTACGTCTTTACCTCTGGCTTAAAGAGGCACAGCTGGACCACCACAGGCCTTCTCCTCAAAGGCAGGTCCCTTAAATATGGCAGAAAGCAGAATAGTCAGGAGAGTCTTTTAAAAAGAAAGGAAGAAACTGTACAGAGCTGCTCAGTCTTTCATCTCAAGGGTAAGGAGAGGCCCGAAGATAAGTCTAGCTGAGGTTCTTCCACACAGACACATAAAGAGCAGAGAGAAGGTTCTGACTGTACCCTACCCCCAACAAGAAAGAATTTTCTTACTGGGGTTGTTCTATAAAATGCTGCAACTCCTCTCTTCCTCTAAGACATTCTTCCACATTAGAGTTCTCCTCTTTTGCCTCTTCTCCATAGCATGTTCTCTGAGTTGAACTATAATGAGAGCAAAAATAGACTAAAAAGACCAGACACAGAAAATATATAGAATTCAATCATCATTGATCACCCAATATGTACCTTCAGGGCTGTGAATAAGACAAACTCCCAGCTCTCTCCCATGAGCTTCCACTTGATGTGGGAGAAACAGGGCAAGCTACCTAAAGAAGTCCATTTCTGCATACATGGAGTAACACACCCAAGCTCTGAGTTCTTGCCCAGATTCTTCCATTAACTGACTATGTAATAAAGTTTTTACAGGCCTCCATCAAATGAGGGAATAGCATTGGAACTATGGGATGTTGACTGAAGTTCCCAAAGTTTCCCTCCTCCTTGGGTTTTCCCAGGGAGATCTTCTGGAAGGCAGTGACATCAAATGCAGGTATATGTCACCTGGCAGCTGTGCTAGATAGACACCAATGGGAAACTTAAAAGAAGTCACAATTTGCCCTGCTGGTGTGGTTCAGTGGTTGAGCATTGACCCATGCACCAAGAGGTTATCAGTTCAATTACCGGTGAGGGCCCATGCCCAGGTTGTGGGCTCCATCCCCAGTGAGGGGCATGCAGGAGGTGGCCAATCGATGTTCTCTCTCATCGATGTCTCTATCTCTCTTTCTCTCCCTTCCTCTCTCTCTAAAATCAATAAAGAAAAATCATTTTTAAAAGAAAAGAAAAGAATTCATAATTCAAATGCTACTTACTTCTATTTTAGACAAAATTCTTTTGAGTTCGGTGATCCCTTTCTAAAGCTATTGGGGATATGAAGAAGCTAATTGGAAAATATCATAGATGCAAGCACAGCAACAAGAAGTGCCAGACCGTAGTGGCTCTGCCTTACTTTAGTCCTGAAAGCCTCCTGTAATAGATGGGAAACAAAAGGTAGTTATGCCCCTGCCCCATATTTCAGATATATGTTTAAATTATGTTCAGTAGGCCCTGGAATATATATTAGAAAGATTTCTATTCAGGCGAATTAAGATTAGAAATGTTTGGTACTTTAAGACATAAATGTCTTTATTCTGAAAAATTAATCTGTAATTACACAGATGAATAACTGGGTTTTGCCATCTATTTCTTTTCTAAGCAGTTGCAAGCTCACATGCTTCAGGGATCAAAAAAGTCACAGATGTATAAAGTATATGTAGGCATTCAAACTCAAACACAATAGAGAGTCAAACTCAAAATCGTTTGAAAATTGTGATCTTCATTTTAATTAATGTTCAGAAGAGAGAAAGGTACCCCTTGAACTTAAAAGTAAGATCACCCTCTGAGAGTGATCCTGGCAAAGATCAATACATAATAGATGAAATGAGCCATTAGTGGAAATCACCTTTCCTAAAATTGGTCTGTAAATATATGGCTGAGAAGATTCTAGTCAAGTCATTTAGAGTAAGTCTCAAAGAGACAGGAATGATGGAAATTAAGAAGAAAACAAGAAACAATCCCTGGCCAGTGTGACTCAGTTGGAGCATAGTCTTGTGCCCCAAAAGGTTGCTGGTTCAATTCCCAGTCAGGGCACATGCCTGGGTTGTGGGTTCGATTCCTGATAGCGGTGCCTGTGGGAGGCAACTAATCACTGTTTCTCTCACATTGATGTGTCTCTTTCTCTCTCCCTTACCTTCTCTCTAAAATCAGTCAAACATATCCTTGGGTAAGGATTTTTTTAAAAAGAAGAAGATAGGAAACATAATTTCTGGGTTGCCTTTCCAATAGCCATTCCTTTGCCCTTTTTCATTGATATCAGAACCTGCCTCCTATAGTTGGCTGTAAAAATACCAGAGACTGCCTGTCCCAGCTTCTCTTGCAGCTAGGGGTAAAAAGTTAATACTGTTCTAGCAAATAAAAACACAAGGGACAATCTTCTGGGAGACTTCTGGGATGTTTTCTCTGTGCTAATACCAAAACCACCCAAGCAAAGCTTATTCCTTTCCTGGGTCCAGAGACTAAGAAAACTGGAGAATCTTCAAAGCAGGTGGAGGCATAAGTCAGTGTAATTTGAATTTCAGAAGGGTTGATATTACAAATCTATCTTTGCTCTTGGAGAATGCTTTACAGATCAAAGGGTTGTATCTCTCTTCAGACACTCTCCAAATCGAACTCTGTGTTAAATAAGAAACCATGTTTGGAAAAAATGAAAATTCTGAGATGAAACTATCATGTTCACTCAGAAAAGAGCCGACAATGATTTGCTTTTTCTGGAACATCAAAGTGCCCTAGAAAGACCTACAGCGATTTTTATGCAGATGCTCCAGCAAGATAAGATATACTGCTTATCACAAATATTGTGATAGACTGTTCAACTGCGGTTAGTGATCTCTGTCAAAGAAACTAATAAATCAAAATGTAAGAATTTGACTACTTCTTCAGCTTTTTTTCACATAAAAAAGGACATCAAGAGACCATTCCTACTACATCAGTCACCTCTTAGGTGCCACTTCAGATCCTCTCGGCCTTATCTTTCTCTGTGATCTTTGGCCTCTTGTTCCAGCTTAGCCAACTCTATGTAAATTTAACCAACTTCATTTGGACAGACCAATAGCTGCTCACTTCATGCATATCTGTCACTTTCTGTCCTGTGACTTTCCTGTTGATACTATGGTGTGAGACCCCAAGAACACACTCAGTGCTTACCCATGGACACTCAGGAAGTTCAGGGGAATGAGCACCCATTGGGGAGAACCCTTGACCAAAGGGAGATGAAAGCCAACAAATAATTATTCCCCCTTCCTCCCTTGGGAATACTGCCCTGAGAAGCAAGCTGTTATGTCTCTCAATAAATACATCCTCAAAGTGAAGGAATCAGTCACTCTAAATAAACATTCTCACATTGCATTTCCCTCCTTCCCTGCCTCCCTCTACTTTCTCTTTATTCCTGCTCCCTATTTTAGATTGTACTCCCTAATAAAGTGGGGGCACATAAGCCTTGGCCTCAGGCTCTGCTGTCTAGCAACACAGGTTAAGGCTGTGAGTGTGTGTTTTTTCCCCTATTGCTATGTAACAAATTACCATAAACTCAGTGTCTTAAAACAACACCTATTTACTAAGTCAAAGTTCTGTAGGTCAGAAGTTCACCATGGTGTGGCTGGGTTTATTGCTCAGGTTCTCACAAAACTGAAATCAAGGTGTAGATCAAGTTTAGGTCTCATCAGGAGCTTGGAGCCCTCTTCCAAGCTTACCTGGTTGTGGCAGAATTCAATTCCTCATAGTTGTAGGACTGAGGTTCCCATTTCTTTTCTGGCTATAGTCTGGGTGCTGTTCTCAGCAATTAGAGGCCACCTGCCTTCCTTTCCATGTGACTCCCTTCATCTTCAAAGCCAGCAACTGTGCAGCAAATCATTCCTATATTCCAAATCTCACTGACTTCTGTGTTTCTGATCTCTAAATCCATATTTGAATAGCTCATGTGATTAGGTCAGGGCTACTTGGATAATCTCCCTGTCTTAAGGTCAACTGATTTTGGAACATAATTATGTCTGCAAAATCCCTTTGGCTATATAATGTAACATATCCACAAATTTCACCCATACTCAAAGGGATATGGATTTTACAAAGACATGAGTTACTGGGGATCACCTTAGAATTCTGCCTATCACACATACAGTTTGGTAACAAGAGTGAACCTAGAAAGCAGACCCTCAGGGGATGAAATTTTGGTGCTCAATTACTCACTAATCGGAAAGCAGTAGGGTTCAAATTATTGGTGGTAAGTGGGGTGAAAAATCCTGGCATGCAATGGCATCACAAGTATTAATGCTTTCACTTAAATTTAATATTAGGTGGAGGGTGAGGCAATGGGTTATGAAATTGCTGTGGTGCTTGAAAAATACGCAATTATGGGAGCAATTATGACTATAAAAATTGTGGATTGGCCTTAATGTTACTAGCAGAATTGGAAACCTTGAAAAAAGGAAACAGATTCAGGCTAACCAATTGCCAATTCAAAGCCTGCTTTGAAATCCAGAGGGCCTGTGAGGTAACTTTAAAAAATATTCTCATTTCCTGTCCCCAAAGGGCAGTTGCTAGGGAGACAAACACTGTGCCTCATTCTTAATGGTATGAGGTGTGAAGTGCAGCCTTTTATTTTTTATCTTAGAATGTCCTGGCATTCTCCAAACCACTGGGATCCCTAAAAACTTCACCAATGTGGCCAATCTCTGAATCTTCATGGGATCCATCTCCCTTTCTCAGATACACATGATTCTACTAGGGTACATATGTGCTTGCTACCTCTGGCTCATCATTTAGCAAGATGCCATGTGGTAATCTAATGATAGTCAACATGATTGAAGCCCTTGTGATAGAAAACAGAAGCATCTACATAGTCCTAGGGTAGAAACATGAATGTATACTGTTCCCTTGCTTATGTGAAGGTGAACTACTTTTGATCCTCCCTTTTAATGGGGATTGAGAAGTATGTATTCATCTTATCAGTAGCTGCTTATCAAATGTGATAGAATGTGTTAACCTGAACCAGTAAAGATTCCACATCCAGGACGGGAGAATACAATTGAAATTAATGCCTAGTTAAGTCTATGAGAGTCCATCATTTTCCATGATCTATCCAGATTTTGTGGGAAGTATACAGGCAAAATGAAAGGGGAAGTGATCGTAACCATAACACCTATATTTTAAAAATATTTTGTGATGGTGCCAATTTCTAAAGTTCCTTCTGGCATGCTATATGCTCCTGATTTATTAACCTGGCTGGAGGGGGCAGAACAATGGGGAGGAGGAGTTTTAGGAGTTTTCACTTGGCACTTGGCCTTTCCTACTCTAATGGCCCTCATTCTGCTGATTAGGAAACCAATGTGAGGATTCTTTCAGCACTAAGTATATCTATGATACCACTGGGGACTGGGAGATAAGAAGAAGATGGGACAGACCCATTGGACCCATTATGAGATAGAGTTGGTAAAAAAAATTCCATTTAACACATGGCCTCCATCTCCTCTGACCTTCAGATTTATTCCTCAGCATTAGGCCAAGTCAGTTCAGCATCTTCACCTATTTACCTTAAGTCATCATTATATCCAACTTTGGTTCAAGGAGAATTGAAAAGTTTATTTAGACAAATTTGTGTGTCCTTCATATAACACTGAAACCCAAAATGTATAGCTTTGCTATCCAGGTTTACATTCTGCCCTCATGGTCTAATTTCCTCGAGATTTACTCCCTCCCATGTTCCCCTAGTTCCACTCCTATGTTTTAATCAGGCCCAGCAATTCCTCCAGTGCATAAGCTATTTTCTTCCTTTTTGAGCTGTTGTGATACCTGACCCTCTTTACTGGTCTGCAGAAGTAGATCTTGATGAGAACAGAGGCGTCTGCCTCAGTAAGCTAAATGCTTAGTCTCCATGCAAACGCAAGCTCCTCACCTTAGCAAGAAGAAAGGGGATTTTTTTTTTCCAACCCAAAAGTTTAAGAGGGTTTGGAAGAGTCAAGATTCTTAGGCTTTTTCACCTAAATATCTTATCCTAGGTCTCAATTGTACTTGTGTCCCATCAAAATCCTGATTTTGACATAGGAGACCTACCAAATCTGTATATTCTGTCTCCTCTGTAACTCTGCCTCCCTTATAATTAGATCCTGGTCCTAATTTCTGCACAGTCTTCTCTGCAACTACAGGAGATAAAAGTCTCCTTCAATTATCCTACAGAGGCCTTCTGCCTTGAGTTAATAGTTGCCTGACCCACACCTGTCTTATTCTTTTCTTAAGGGCTCCAAAGCAATCTATAAAAGCCGTACAAATTTAGTCTTTATAATTATCATTGCCCCTGTATCATTCAGATTCATAACCACTAGATAACTTAGTGTTCTCCTACTGGTACTTCATCCAATCCCCCATGGATGA